GCATCATCTTTCAAGATTTTAAATAGTTCAATTGGAATGCCATCACCTCCACTGGCCTTGTTGTTAGCCAGGCTTTCTAAGGACCACTTGACTTTGCTCTACAGGATGTCTGGCTCAAGGTCAGCAACCACACTATCTGGGTTGTCCGGGACATCCAAATCTTTCTGGTATAATTCCTCTGTATATCCTTGCCACCTCTTCTTGATGTCTTCTGCTTCTGTTAGGTCCCTCCCATTTTTGTCCTTTATCATGTCCCTCTTTGTACAAAATGTTCCTTTAATAGCTCCAGTTTTCTTGAACAGATCTCCAGTTTTTCCCTTTCTATTAATTTCCTCTATATCTTTGCATTGTTCATTTAAGAAGGCCCTCTTGTCTCTTCTTGCTATTCTTTGGAGGTCTGCATTCAGTTTTCTGTAACTTTCCCTATCTCCCTTGCATTTGTTTCCCTTCTCTTCTCTGCTATTTTGTAAGGCCTTGTTGGACTTTCTTGCATTTTCTTTTCTTTTGGGACGATTTTTGTTGCTGCCTCGTGTACAGTGTAATGAGCTTCCACCCATAGTTCTTTAGGCACTCTCTCCACCAAATCCCCATATTACAAGGATTGTATTACATGGATTGTATTACAGTAGTAATAAGCACATACAGTAGGATATGGTTTATTCCAATTCAGTATACAGAACTGGCGCCATAAACCATTTTTCTTTTTAAGCGCTGGTTCAGCTTCAAATTAATGTTGATACAGCTTTGGAAAGCAATCCCTCAAGAGGTTAACAACAACAACAACAACAACAACAACAACAACAACAACAACAACAACAACAACAACAACAACAACAACAACACTTTTAACCAAGGAATGCTGTTCTGCCAAAGCTTGTGTGGGTGGCATTCATGTGTGGTATTCTACATGGTAGTGGACATTATATCAGACCAACCACATAGAATCATAGAACAAGGGAAGTAGAAGATGCTTAGAAGGCCATCAAGTCCAACCCCTGGTCAAGGAAGGAACCCAAATCAAAGCAGACCTGACAAAGGGACAAGGGAAGTAGAAGATGCTTAGAAGGCCGTTAAGTCCAACCCCCTGGTCAAGGAAGGAATCCAAATCAAAGCAGACCTGACAGAGGACGGTCCAATTTTCCCTTGAATGGCGCTCACTGCCTCCCTCATCGCCATACTGCTCTCACAGTTAAGAAGGGTTTTTTGGGGAGGGGTTTTGGTATTCAGTTAAAATTTGGCTTCCACATGAGGTGGCCCAACATGGTATAGTAGACAGAAACTCAGACTAGGACTCGGGAGAGCTGGTGTCAGATCTCCTTGGAAATCTGCTTGGCCCTGGGGGCATGGAGGGGATAGCCATTGTAAACCCCCTCCTTGAACATCCCGCATACCTTGAAAACCCTACTAGGGTTGCTATCATTGAGAAGCAACTTCACAGCACGTAGCAACCCCAAACGCAGGAGATGGAACAGTTTCAGATTAAAACAGGACTTCTGTGCACAAGGAAAGGAAGAAAATCAACAGCCTGGTTTTCTGCAAATCCCCACTACAAACTTTAACCCATATATTAGGGGCGCAGCGGGATTCAGCCCAGTCTCCACTGACACTCTCACTCTTCCAGTGGGGGTGGGGAGAGCACCTCTCTATAAAGTGACAAAGCCTGGTTGCCTGCCCGTCGTAATGGGAATTAAGACACAGAGTTGTAATAAATAAGAATAGGTTGGGTATACTAGAGAATTCGTTTGGCTCCTTAAACATGGCATGTTTTTGTTGTATGAACAGAGCAATTGTCATTTTGCCTATCAGATAAGTTTAAGGGGGAGTTAGCATCCTAGCAACTTCCTGGCTGTTACCCGGCATCTGATTACTTACCTACAACTCATCCCGGAATATGCTCTCAAGATCATCACGTGTTGCTGTCTACCATCATTTAAGCATCCGCATTAGAAGTGTCAGAAGGAGTGGGGGGTGAGGAATTGATCGCAGACTGGTAGGGTGTGTTCTACTTATATCAGAGGCATTTTTAGCCAGTGGCTACGGGCCCTCCATACTCTGCTGACCGTACGTTGCCAACCACCCACAAAACCTTGTGCGCTCCAGGACAGATGCTCTGCCACTATTTCCTCAACACTGGGCCCCGTCCTCTTCCACCCTTCCTTCTCTTCTGCTGTTTGTGTGAATGAAGTGGGAGAAGGGGCAGAAAAAAGCAAAAGCCTCGGAAGCTGTTCCCTGCTTCGGCCGTGGCCAAGCTGGCACTGTCAGAAGTCATTGAGACTCCTAGCGCTGATTGTCTCGGGAGGAGCATTAAAATGCTGTTCAGCAGACCTCAGGTTCAATCGAATTACACCCTTGGGGGAGGGGGGCTAACGAAGGTGATCCAGGGCCTTTGGCCACAGAAGGTCCGAAGGACGTGGCCTGGAGGATCAGACAATGCATTTCGAAACGTTGACCCCCTGCCCTGCCCTGCCCTGACCCTACACATAGGCAGAAGGTCGGAACCCACCTAGCTTCATGTGTCACACCAAAGTTTCCATATGGCCAGGACAGAAAGCAAGGGAAACTGCCATCTGGAGGTGTTCTACAACACATGCATGCTTAAGTACAACACACACACACATACACATATTAATGGTTTAAACGTTGCTGGGTTTTCCAGGTGATCCACAGTGTGTCATCTCTAGCAGTCATGGGGATGGGGAGGGGACGGCGGCAAAGGACCCTTCCTTCCTTCCTTCCTTCCTTCCTTCCTTCCTTCCTTCCTTCCTTCCTTCCT